ACATTGACTGAGAGCCACAGAAATAGTGCTGCTGTTTCTTACTTCGCTCCCATTTCAGCATATGAAATCTTTTCAAACTGATTCAAGTGCAGTTTGTGCAGATTCACGCAGGGGAACAAAACTGCAAAGCCCCATAAAAGTGTTTTTGGCTCCTCACTTCAGTGTTTGGGGGTAACGAGGTTTTTTGTTTTTTTTTAAATACTGGAAAGGAATCCTCACATGATTTAGATTCCTACTCTGACAGGAACATTTTAGTACCATCTATAGAAATGAACAGGGCAAACCAAAACGAGTGTTGTGCCCACAGAAGCACATGATACTATCTATATATTTTTGTTAGTCTCTAAGGTGCTACAGGACCATTCGTTTTCAAATAAAATTACACTGGTTTGGTTACCTGGAAGTTTACCACTGTTTTAAATTAATCCTTTTGTACAAGTTTTAATCAAGCTCAAATGAAATTTAAATTAAGGAACATACTCTCCTTAGCCTGTGGCTTCTAATGTATCTGATTTAGTTCTAGAAAGGTGCTGTTGCCAATTTGACCATTAAAAAAAATGCTAGATCTAAAATCTTTCCGTCTCACCTCAGTTTGCTGAGTAAAAAAAAAAAGCAATTTTTTGCTTTTAAAATGCACCATGTGTGTTACGGTCAGCAAACCAAACGCATCTGATACACCAACACAGTATCTTACAATTAAGACCCTCTCGGAGTATTAAATACTACAGGACCATAATCTGAAATCGTTCAACCCATTTAATTAAACGGCGCCCAACTGTGACAAATATTTTTTGCCAACTTTCATCATGTAAAAAGATGACCAAAATGGCCTTGTAAAAACTGGTTTAAGAAAAATTGCTCCTGGGTAGGGACCCTGCTTCCAAAGGAGTGAGATTTTATGGTCAGAAAATAGGCAGTTATAATGAAAGCGCTGACACAGCCATAACTACAGTGGCATGAATGAGTCACTGTAATAATTAATCTAAAAAAAAATCCTAAAAGTTCAGAGTATATAAAAGGAGCACTTCCTGCTTTATGGTTAGAAAGACCAAGCTAACTGGGAATATCATTCTCCCGGGTCCACACTGCTTCTTAAATGAGATTACAGTAAGAGTGATGTACTGTAATACAAGTCAGCTGTGACAAGCAGCACTTTATAGAGCTATCTGTTTGCCTCCATCACTACATCACACAATGTGTCCCAGGACTCCAATGTGCAACTCCATTTACCACTGCATGACAAATGGGCAGCACTTGTAAAAGGCACAAAGAGGTCCAGCTCAGCCATGTAATGGTCACCACAGCTGTACCCGCGTGCTTGAAGGCAACAAAACAGACCCCCAAGTTCATTAAACTGACCAGTAATGGATCTTTCAAAACGTGCCTTAGGAATACTACAGTAAAGGCTAAAATAAATAACTCAGCATGGAAGCCTAATCTAAAATGGTGTTTGATAAATTATTTATAACGTAGACGATTGTCTGCATTTAATATTGGAGCTACCAGTAGCATCTTTAAAAGATGATTTATGTGTTGTAATGCCATTAAACTTTATATTGGCCCACTGCTAGCTATAAAGTCTGCTGAGATTTAGAGAATGAGTTTTAAACTGTCACTGCAACATCATAGTAGATGGAGCCTGTATTAAATCTTTACTTTAAACCTGCTATCTGGAGAGTTGCATTTTGTAGACACTCAAGAACTGATAGATTACCTCACTACATGTGCTATGGTGCAAGTCCCAAACAGCAAGGAGAAGGAACTTTTCCATATTACTCTTTTATATTGCTTGAATCGAATTTCTCTTCACACTTGAATGATGTTCAGGTTTTGAATCCTACCTGAGTACACATTTAGAAGACTGTTCGATGCAGCATGTTGGTTATGTCTACATCCAATTAAAAGCTTTTAGGAAAAAAAATCATTTATGCCTAGTGATGTCTCAAACAAATGTAGCAGTTGCAGCTGTTTAGAGAATATTATTTCCCTGATGTTTTGGGAACTTGACAAGCAATTCATGTACGAGACCTCTTTTTTTCCCACGGATTCGTAAATTGCAAAGATAATCCAAATAACTAATTAAATAAAAAGATCACCAAAATTGAATGAGTCTCTAACAGACAACCAGCAGT